GGTCAGGACATGGAGGCAGCACCCACAGCCCCCAGGTGGGACAGCACAGGGCATGCATAGCGCCTCTGGAACAGGAAGGGGTTGTGAGAGCCCAAAGAATTTTCACTTTTTTATATTTTTTTCCCCCAAACAATACATTCTAGGCATTCTCACCCAACTCAGGGGGATGATTTCCCAGTGGCCCCCATCCCTTAGATGCTAAATCCCATTGACTTCCATCGAAACTTGGTTTTGCATGGACCAGATTTTCAAAGGTGTTCCGGCCCTTAAACCTACAGATTTGTGCCAAGTGGGATTTTTTCAAAGCACCTCAACATTTTAAGCGTCTCAGGGGAGAATGGTGCCAAATCTCACCCTACAGATCCCACCCCTGATCTCTGAATGCAGCATCTCAGGGCTGTGATATCCTCAAATGAATGTGTGCCCCAAAGCTCAGATCAGCACACACCTCTCCACACACAAACATCTCCCGTTCCGCCACACACCCTTATGTTCCCATACGGTCAGCCAGTCCCAACAGGAGCATCTGATCCACCACGACAAAACCTTCCCTTATTTTGTGCACTTCCACACGCTGTCCCCTCTCCCAGCGACGCCGAATAATTAACATATAAAAGTCTGGTGATAAGTGAAGTTTACGATGCAAACCAGAGGAATGAGGGCTCAGAAGTGAACATTATAAGAGCCCTGTGCCCATAAACATCCCACTTCTGGTGGGCTACCCAGCCAATTAATCACACGCAGAAATGCTGGCCGAGCATTCATTGCCCACATAAGTTCCTTGCTGAAAAACAAACCTCTGGAGCTGTCAGGAGAATAGTAAGGAGGAGATGGTGTGCTGGAGAGAAAAATACACACAGAGCAAGAATAGGACGTGACCTGTGTTTTACAGGGTTTTTTTGTGTGTCTGCTCTGCTGCAGTAAAAAAGAAAAATCCGTCTTCTCAACAGGAGAAGGAGAAACAGGGAAAATAAATGCTGGCCAAGTTACAGGACTCTTAGAAAATCAGGAATTAGTTGTTTTTCAGTTTAATTTCTGAGCTGCTGCAAGCATCAGTTCCTCTCAGGGCAACAGCCTCCAACCCCTGGGGGCACAGTGAGGTGCTGGGCAGCACTCAGTTGGTACTGGACTCAGCTCTGGGTTTTGTGGGGTTCACTTACATAAGGAGACCCCAATAGGAGGAGAAAGGCCGCAGTTTAACCAGAGATCAGTGCCTTACCTTCATCCCCTCGCTGTACCTGAGGACCCTGAGGATGCGGATGCTCTGGAGCGTGTGGGTCATCTCCTGCAGATTGGAGCCTGTGGGGTGGATATTCAGGCAGAAGGCAATAAGGAGGATGTCCAAGGTGCCATATCTGCTCTTCCTGTAGCTGATGGGGTCCACATACAGTTTCATCAAGTGCTCAGTGGTTTAAGCAGAGAGGAAGAACGCATCTGCCAGCTGCAGAGAGGAGCTCCCAGTTTCACTTTCAATGTCACCAACAACCCGCTCTGCTCCCAAGGACCTCTTCAAACCCACTGAGCTCAATTCTAAGCAGGGTTCTGGTCACATCCCTACGGATCCCCCTCAGCCCCTGCCCCAGGGACGTGCCCTGTGCTCCCACACCAGCAGCTGCTGGAGCTCTCAGAAATCTCCGCAGCTCATGACGGGGTTTCCTGACGTTAGCCAGGCCCGGCTCATATATTATGGGGATATATAATTAAGGCACAGAGGTTTGCATACAGTAGCTGGCTCGTGTGAGACAAGGAAATCAGGGTGTGTGACCAAGTGGGATTTTCGGTGTGAAAACTGAGTATTAAAAGGGTGCTTAAAACTGACTGTGCCAAACCCGCGAGGGGGGGAAGGGCTGCCACGGGGAGGACTGAACAATTGCATTTCAAGAACAATCATTATCGAATTAACAGAGAGGTTTGAAGCTTGCCCCTGAAATGCATTCCCTGGCACAGTCCCATCACAGCGAGTCCCTGGGTTTCTAGAAGTTTTGGATGTGCCACTGCTGGGTGGTCACTGGGACTGGGCCAGGTGCTGAGATGCCACGTGGCCACTGCCATGGATGTGCCACCATCCTGGGGAGGAATGGGGCTGCGTTCGTCCCCTCGTGGTGTGCCACTGTGACTCACCATGAAATGGGTGCTCAGCTTCAGCTGGTAGAAGCAGTCCATCTCCACAGGCAGGAGGATGGTGTTGCTGGAGATGATGAGCAACGTGAGCCTTTTGGACTTGGAGTTGTCCAGCAGTTTGTGCAGGGAGACACAGAGCTTGGGATCCCTTCTGCCAGAAAGAAGGGGAGAGATGGTGGGGCCAAGCAGCAAGGAGAGTTGAGAACAAGCAGCACCAATGGGCCCAGTTGCCCCCAGAGCTACGGGAAGGGCTGGGGTGCATGGCCATCCATCTTGCCTACGGACATGCTGGGCGGGTGCAACTGAATCCAGGTTGAAGACTTCTTTAGAAACTGCAAAAGGGAAATCCTGGTCCAAGTCTTCCTCCAGCCAGGCTGGCCCAGGACCAGCAGCTCCCACAGAAACAACAGCTGGAGGAACAACCCGATCATCACACGCACACTAATTCCAGCCTACAAGGAGCTTGCTCCACGTGTACCTGAACTGGAAGATGTGAGTGTGTCTTTTAGCTACATCATATAGAGAATAGGAGAACTTCATAAGAAAATTGGAGGTGGGTCGTCCTCCTTGGCATAAGCCTGGGTGCTCCATGCCACCCCATGGCACAGCAGGTGCTGGGATCTGCTGCTTGATGTCACCACTCTGTGAGGTCAAGCTGAGGAAACCCCACTGCTCCAGGATAAACAAAAACTCTGCGCTACAACAACAGATGCTGATGATTCTTAATTAATTGAGTTTGCATTGCTGAGCAGTTTAGGCAAACTATGCCTGTTTTGGCTTAAGATCTATGGAAATTATTGACAAAACTGCTTTTAATGCAGCCCTGCAGTGGGGAACAGACCCCAAAAGCACCGACAGCCCTCCCATGGGCTCTGCCTCCACTGGCCACTGGCGTATAAGTGCTTGAGCACTTCTGTGCCACCACATCTGCCTGAGCCCAAAGCAGGGCTGCTATCAGCTCAACAAGGAGCACCATCGCAGCACGGAGCTTCCCCTTGCACTGCTGCAGCCCTGTGTCCTGCAGCCCAGCCTGGCTCTCACAGAGCACCACTGGCAGCCGTGTCTGGACTGCCTCCAAAGTCCGTTTGCAAGTGACTTGTCAGCTCCTCACCAAAGGGTCCAACTCTGCAACAGATCTTCGGCACGAGCAGCGCTTACATAAATACGGCCTTTGATGTCAGCGGGAGAACTCACATCCATGTTTGCTTTCTGCTTTTTTTTTTTTTTTTCTTGGGGGAAAAGAGAAAGGGAATGAACAATTGCTAATTTATTTCAATTTGTCAGCATCGCTGTGCCTGCTAGCCTGGCTGCTCCGTGAGAGCTTCTTCCAGGACACACATATGTTTGGCTCATCCTGAGCTGCAGCTTTGCTTAAGCCACAAATATTTGTTGCTTGGCACAAACAATTGTGAAAAACTGAACCTAGCTCACGCTGAGGATCTCACTAGCTTCAGTTAATTGGCAATTGGCTCATTAATCTGAGGCTGAAAAAGCCAGAGGATGCGCACATATCTACCAGCTCAGAGCTTTCAAAATTGATGTTGTAGGCTCAGGAAGCAGAAAGGGGCAAGGAGGAGCCCTCGTGCTGGGGTGAGAGGCCACCTCCTGCTGCACCAGGTGTGCATCCTGCAGTTTACTGGAGCTGGGCTCCCAGTTTGGGGAAAGGAAGGGATAACAGACCGGTCCTGTTCCTGAGCAGTCCTCGGGCTGCTGGGACCCGAGCAGCAATTCCCAGCTAGGAGTGCACTGCAGGCGTCCCTCGTGCTCTGCTCTCCCAGCCCTGTGTGTTCAGTTTTTAATTTCCTGTGGCTGCAGATCAGTGTTGCAGGGTCTGCACTTCCCAGTGGCTGCGGGGTGGGTTGGTGAGGTGGCTCAGCTGAGATGCACACAAGTAGCTCTCAAGGAGAAGGCCATTTCGCGATGGATTATCCAAATACTTCAAGCCACAATCAACTTTAAAGCAAAAAAACCTCAAACATTCCAGGGGAATATTTAACCTGGTGGCTTCTAGCCATGCTCTGAGCCTCACAGGAAGCAGAGAAATGCAATTAGTTTGCAAGAGCGGAGGATGTGGCGCTGCTGCCATCGAATCTGCCCAAAGAGGATCTGATCAGCAGGGAAAGCTGTAAGCTGGGCAGTTGCTGGAGCCCACCTGCTGCAAGGCAACAGAGCAGAGCAGCTCCTGAGATGCCATCACCTGGAGAAGCCTCAACACTCCCAGTCTGGCTATTTTTGTTCAGAGCAGAGCCAACGATGCTCTTCGCAACGCAGCCTCAGGCTGTTTCCTGGCTGGGATCCCATACCTGTCATTAAATCCATGCTGTATAAATTACCAATTACCCATGAAGTTCCAGCTTGGTCAGGGAGACAGTGCCCTGCTCGGTGCCCCAGCATCCTGCACTCACCACCTCCACACAGGCAGAGGAGAGCTGAGGGAATGCAGGAGAAGGGAATGGGGCTGGGTGGTTCCACCTGACTCCCAGCAAGGATTTAGGGAGCCAGAGGATGGGGGTGAGAGATACTGCAGGGACAAGGAGTTCCCCACATGATTGGGCTGCAGTTCAGAAATGCTCCAGTAATTAACAGCTGAACAAGCACTGACCTGGAGACCACACTGCTGTGAACGTTCCAAAACTGTGCTCCTCTTCTTGGGCTGGTTTTGCTTCTTCACCAGGCTGGGAGCTGCGACGCACGGTGGCTGCACAGCTCTGTGCCATACAGACAGCAGTGCTCAGGGAGAAATTAGTTGGTGGGGATTTTTTCCTCCGAGTATGTAAATAAATATCAATACTCTAAACCAAAGACCACCCAGTGACTAAATATTATTTATCTTCAAACTAAACAGCTTTGTCACATATGTATAATAATAAAGAAACAAATTACAAAGAAGGAATTTGATTTTATTGGCTTGATGCAAAGCATTGGCATTCTGTATCAATTTCTAACAGCAGAGTTTGCACCGTTCACTGCAGACGTCATCCAAACATTGGGTGAGACTCGTTTCACTCCTCTACCAGGAATAGGAGACATCACAGCTTGACTTGAAGCCACTTATACCAGTGAGATCCACCCCTTCAGTGGGGAAAGGCACTCTGAAGCAAAGAACATTGGAGCACGTTGCTTGAATCCGGGTCTTTTTTAGGTTTAAATATCAATAACCCCAGTACAGTCAGCACCAGTAAAGCCCAACATCTCACATCTTGCCTCCTGCCACCAATTAGCATGTGACAGTGCACTTGCTGAGCATTAACAAAAATACCATTCCTATTTTACCGACAGCAATATCTGCATGTCAGCTACTGGCATTTTGCATCCTGAATAGCTGAGAGACCACACACTCTGTGCACACACCCAGAATAGATCCTGGCAGCCACTGCCCCTCGATGTGTGTCTCAGTTCCCAGCCGTGCCCTCAGTGACCCCAGCCATGCTGCAGGCATTTCACAGGGGTCACTCTGCCAGTGCTGCACCCAAAGGGCTCGCAGGGCACACGGGGACTGGCAGCTACAAGGAGGGTGAGCATAGCTCTGGCCGAGCCCAGCTTAGCAAGAATCCTGCTAATGCTGCTTCCCTCGCTGCCGGCACACGGCCAGGCTCCCCCTCCCATCCTGCAGGTATGAGCAGAGCTAACAGCTCTGTCCTGCAGCGTGCTGGGTGCTGCCTGACCCAGCACTGCATCCAGATGTACTGTATTTCATTAACACTGCCAGGAGCTGAGACCTGGTGCTATTTGCATGGGGGAGATGGAAGTCAGCACTGAAAAGGGTGAGCATGGGCATTCAGAGGGGTCTCTCAGATAAAAGCCTTAAAGGCAAACAAAGCTACACCACTGTTTACAGAATACTTTGTTTTTTCAGGGGGGCTGTGAAATCAGAGTTACAATGAATGGGGGACATCATTCAAAATACAAGACAGCACCTTAAAATGCCATATACCTGCACTATACAGAGGCAGCAGCCTTGTCAATGAATTGAGCCAGCTTCACGTCTCTCTTGGTCAGTCCGCCACAGTCATGGGAAATGAGGGTGATCTGAACCTGCCAGGAAGGAGCAGCAGGATGTTACAAGGATGGAGAAACCATGTCTGCCACCCACAGCACCCCGAAATCAAAATGATGGGGGAGCAGTCGTTTCCCCCTCACACAGCACCTCTCTTCCAAGGGTTGCAGAGCACATTCTAACCTCCGTAATCGCAAGACCAGCAGCAGCCAGGCAACGTTCTAAACAAGCTTTATAAGCTGCTACGCTGAGACACAGGGGCCGAGGATGTTTAACAAATCCAATCTAAATTTAGGCTGCCAGGCTGCCATCCAGGTACCTGCACGATGCATAGACAGAAATGAGAGCTGGTGGGCACTCAGAGGTTCCAGCACAGCCACTCACACAGGCTGCCTACAGAAGAGGTTAAAGGCTTCTGCTCTGCTCTCAGATCTCAGCCAGCAAGGCAAAGTGCCAAGCCCTGAGCCACACGGCAAGCAGCCACAAACAGCAGGATGCCTGGTGCCAGCTCACTGCTACCAATCACAGCACCTCTTTAAAGTCCCACATCTCTAGAGAAAGATACATCATCTCCCCATTCCCTCTGCTCCTCTACCGCACACAAACCACAGGAAGGACACAGAGGATGGGCCAGTGCTTTGGTCTGTGTGTGTAATTCAGGCTGGTGGACACGTTACCTTGCTGTAGACGTTGAACCATTCTGGGTGGTGATTCATCTTCTCTGCCTGTAGAGCAACTCGTGTCATAAATCCAAACGCCTAGGAGAGAAAGAACAGAGAGAAAAGCCTTCCTCCATCTGCCAGGACATAGATGGCAGATGTTCTGGCAGCTGATCTGCAACAAGATTCACTATGAAATCTCAGAACCTGCTGGAGAAGTATTTTCGGTCCTTGAGCCACCAACGTGCTTCCTGACCTCACTGAAATCCTCCCCTCAGGGTCCTGGTGAATGACTGCTCAACGTTAATTGCTCAGTGATTCAAACCTGTTGGACAGGAGCAACGATTTTACCCTCGGCACTCAAAAATGGTTTTAAACATCCATCCCAGCAGCCCTCACCCCTCACTACACCTTTGCCAATGTGTCATTTCCAGCTAGGGCCCATGCCACAATACTCCCATACTGGACAGATAGCACTTCCAGAAACACATCCTCTCACGTAACTATTTTGCTATTTATGTTACTTGGGGGGAGAAAGGAGGCAGGTGGTTTTGCCTCTCTGCTTTATGAGAAAATATTTTACTTTAAGTGAGTTAAAATGGGTTTCCCAATCCTCTGCCCCTATATTCTGCACACTACTTTCCCCCAGGATGCAGGTTTTATCACAGGCTCAAGAAGAAAATAATAGCATGCCTTTGCCAAAATGCTTAAGAGCAAATTGCTGCATTATAAAGAAAATGAGAACATCCATGTAAATCAAGAATGCAATTATGCAGCGGGGTCCAAAGGGCCTCAGTGCGTGTGCAGAACGCCTCCGAGTCAATGGGCTCTATTCAAGCTGCGCTCCATCCATCAGGGTTGGGACCTAAATTAACATGCAAAGCAAATGGAACATCCACATTATAGTCTGGTTCATATTAGAATGCAACGATCTCAACAAAGACCTATCTGATTTAGGTAAGTTTTTAGCGCTCATTTATGGAAGAGAATGTATATAGCCTGCATTCCACCAAGCGATGGCCGCTTCAAACAAACATGTGGTCAATGAATAACATATAATGGCTGATAATAGTTTCAGTCTTTTTTCCTCTCACAAATTACAAAAACCTTTAAGGAAAAAAAAAAAATAGCTTCGGTGCCTGGATGAAGTATGACTTTGTTAGTCGCTTTGCCAGCCCAATGAATGCAAACGTTATAATCAGAGAAAATCATTCCAATGAGGCTTGTCATTTGGAAATCACCAAACTGTCAGCAATTAAAAAGCTTTTTTCCTTGACCCAAGAGCATTCCAAAATTCGAGAAATCCAACTTCCCTTGAAGCTCTCGTTTGGTTTCATTTTCTTTGGAGTGAACAATTACTTCTAAAAGATGCCCCATGTTTCAGCAGCGCGCTTTGAAGCAGAAAGTGGTACAACGTGCATCAGCAACAAAACATCTGCATGAATAGCTCTGAAACATTGCATTCAATCGTTCTTAGACTGCCCAAGGAATCGCAGTAGGAATCGGATAAGACTCTATTAAGATTGAGATCTTAAGGAATCTATTGGCGACCTGTACATTTCCACAGCAGCCTATACAGAGAAAAATTAAGACAGCATTGCAACCTCCAATACGTTGCCTTTGTACAAAGAACAGCAGAAGGAAAGCCAGATTAAACCCATGGAAAGCTTCACCAGGTCCACGTGTCCCCCACCAGGGTCTGTGCGTCCACCTGGGCAGCTCTGACGTACAGACACACGTGGGTTACTGGGACTGGGGTTTCCCAAACCCCACGAGGGATCCCCAAATACTCATACCTGTGCCCGTGCCCCACTGCTCTCTCTCACTGCAAACTGCTGAAGCCCCTCACTTTTGTGTACCAGCTCATTTCAGCCATACACAAAATAGAAGCATCTCTCGCTAAGAAAATGAGCTACAGTTCTACTGAGCAGTTTCACCAATGCAATCTCCATTAAGGTCCTAAATACTTCCTCTGCTAATTAAATGAATTGGAATGCTATTGTTTGGGAATCGCCTCGGTATTTGTAGAGCCGTAACCTCTCTTTGAGAAAATACAATTGGCTCTGCAAGGGAAAGATATTTAGGCTTGATTAGATATGAAAACACTATTGCATAAAATCAGTTTGGACATTTCTTCACGTCTTGAAACTTGATCGGTAATTTGGTCTAATTGGTGATCAAGGAAACTATCTTGTGATCAATTAAAGTAATTACCACATTCCGGCAACACAACCAACCTTAATTTGAGCAGGAGTCTGCACTTCTTCAACTTTAATTAAAAATAATGAAAATTATTAAGCAGTCTGCAGTGCAAGATCATTGTCAAGACTGCAGCGGTGGGCAGAATCCATCAGCCCAACACACACTGCTGGCTGAAGCTGGGACAGGCACTCAACGCCGATCGTGACCTTCACTGCAACAGCAGCTCTGCAGCCCCTCTGATGTTAACGGGCACATTTTTCCATCTTTCCTTGAAAAACAAAGAGAGACGTAAGAAAGGATGCCTGCGTTTTCTGGAAGCCATGAAGAAGTGTGAAAGGAGCCTTTGATGTATTAACTATCATAAAGTATTCGGGTTTTTTCGGAATGAGAGGAAGATATTTTCAACATAAACCTTTCAGGACGTTTTGTCTGAAGTAACAGCCGGACGCACAGGTTAGTCTAAGTTTGATGCATCACTCGGGAGCTGGAAAATCACAGAGCCCTGCAGTGAGTCAGGAACAGCACCAGGGAAGTGATGAGCGAAGCAACCCTGAGCAGACAGGGAGATCCTTGGGTGTGCCAGTATGTCTCTTCCCTTCATGTCTTTTAAGATCATGAAAGAACTAAAAACTAAGGGTGTTTCACACGTAACATCACTTCTAAAATGGTTTTTAAGCCATGCCATAGCATGCCTCCACGAGATAAAAATCAGCGCTACTCTCTGAAGAACACATCAACCTATTAAAGTTATAAAAGAAAAAAAATGCTTTGAGAAGTGACAAAAGACGCTATCAGAAAACGAGACTTAATGTGACTTTTGTTGCCAGAGAATGGGAAAAGCAGGGCTGGGCGCTGTGCTCTCAGCAGTGGGAGGAAAGCTGAAATTCCATCCACCGCTTCGCACCGCGCTTAACAGCTTCGGGAGAATCGTGGGATCCCAGGGCTAATCTGCTATTATTCTTCCTTCCACACTTCTTAAGCAAGAAATCAATTCATCTTAACGCTTTTTAAACACGCTGCTTTTGTACGGCGCTTGCCAACATTATCTCGATGAGTTACACATCAAAGCGGCGCGGGTCGAGATGTCGCGCTCATACATCACCCAGCAGCACGTCCCCGGTGATGGATCACCGCAGTGCATCTCCTGAGTACAGCAGCTGACAGTGCTCGACTCAAAAAATGGAGGTACTCAAGGAAAACAGCCGCGAGGCCCAACAACGTGACTGTATGACGGGCTTTATTTATTTGTTTTAAAGTGCGAGAGTTACAAAGGGAGTACCGATGCTTCCTAAATCCTTCAGATGCTCGGCCAAGGAAAACATATGCTAATCACAAGTACACTAAGGGTTCTGCCTCCCATCTGTTATTATAATGCTGGAGGTAGCGTTAACCTTGGCCCTCTGCAGTGTGAGGGCTACCTGTCTTCCCTTCCATACCCACCCGCACTGCATCAGTGTCATCTATCAGGCTGCCCAGAGAGGCTGTGGATGCCCCGTCCCTGGAGGTGTTCGAGGCCAGGTTGGATGGGGCCCTGGGCAGCCTGGTCTGGTATTAAATGGGGAGGTTGGTGGCCCTGCATGTGGCAGGGAGGTTGGAGATTCGTGATCCTTGAGGTCCCTTCCAACCCTGGCCATTCTGTGATTCTGTAAGAAAGCAGCAAACGAAACACATTACAGCAATGTTGTCATACACGGCATGAGATGACCACTCTCAGCACGCTTGCTTTCCATCCACCCAAGGAAGAGCCCTCCCTGTGCACAGCATATAGCATGTGTTCTCCTTTGTGGTTTGACACTTCTAACAACCACCTCTAATCACTGCAGTCCGTTTCCAAACCGGAGCAGCTTTCACACACCCAACTCATCACATCCCCACCTCCCAGTGAGCACTGGGTCAGCAGAACGAAGGAAAAGCTCTCTGATGTCGAGCTATACTGAGTGACGTGTAGCTAGCCCTGAGGGTTTAACTCAATCTCATGACATCAAAAACCCACGGCTTGTTTCATTTTCATTCTCTTTGTTCCATTAGGAAATACTCCCATTGTATAATTATGCAAAAATCACCTTACAACAAAGAATGCAACTGATGTTTAAGAAGGTGAAAGCAGCACATGAGGTCTGGCATTCATTCTGAAAGACACGTTTCCATGTTGGGCTCGTTGGCACCACTGGGCTGCCAGAACCACCTCCAGGAAACCTGGAAAGCAACGACTGTGCCATGGCCACGTGTCCCATCCCTCCATCCTCCCTGGTAAAGGGAAGCGTGGCCATGGAGCACTACAGACACGCTGGAATGCACTGGGACACCACTGCTGTCCTCATAAAGCAATGCAAAGCTGCATAAAACAAAGCAAAACAACTGAAAAAGCCTTCATTCAAAACATCACTATCTACACTTTTCTGCATTTTTAACCCCATCCCAGGTACTGAGCTGCACGCATCCCTTACACAAACACGAAACGCTGCTCTGCTCTCCAAAAGAAGTCACCTATTTGTATGCATACCGTGGCTGCAAACACTGCCCTCCAAGTTCCACACTGCTTATGTGAAAACCTTTAGGCTGTGCTCCACAAAGAACGCTGTTTCTGTCTCGCAACACTTGTTTACAATTATGTCGGTGAAGAAACCAGCTAGCCAGCTCTATATCAAACATTTCTGACAGCGAAAGCACAAACACTGATCTATTCTAAGTAGTTTGCCACTCTATGTAATCTTGGAAAAGGCATTCCTGCCTTTGATTCTAAAAATGTTTATACTTCATACATTATGCAAATAGTTTTTATATATTAAGAAATAATGCAAGCAAAGCTCAAGTTAAATTAAATTCTTCAACAATAACCTTGCCAAAGCACTGATTTTCCTATAAAAAAATTATTCCAATTTGTTGATCTTACATTGGATGAAACATACTGTAACAATCTTCATAATTTATGTCCTGTTGGGACACTATGATTTAAAGTAACATAATACAGACCAGCATCACTGCTAATCTAAACCACCTGACCAGATAAACAACAGTTTCCCCTTCTCTCTTCATTGAGGGTATTTCTGTTTATTGTCATATGATTTACCAATTTGAAGAACACGAAGAATAAATGCAGGCAATCAGAGCTGGAGCTCTGAGGCATGGCCTTTATTCCAGGGGCGTTTGCTCATGCAGGTACCGCACAATGTCAAGCACTGCAGGAGATGACAGATGGTGATTCCAGGAATTCTGTCCACAGGAATGCTGCTGGCTGCACGGGGAGGCTCATGTCCCTGCAGTGTGACCCAGGTCAGGTGCTGCTCCAGTGAGATGTGATGCTGTGCCATGCCTTGCCACACTTTGCCATGCCATGCTTTGCCTTGCCATGCCATATCATGCTTTGCTTTGCCATGCTATGCCATATCATGCTTTGCTTTGCCATGCTATGCCAT